AAAGTGGTGCATGTCCTACTTGGTGTGTGGAGTGTTATTAATAGATTCCCATGGGCTCAGTTTTCAAGAACCTGGTATTCAGAGATCACTCAGCTCTCAATCAATATATAGTATTCATTAGAGCACAATTTCAGAATATATTATTGCAAATCAAATCAAATACCAACAGCAAATATTAAGGTGCATTTATATGACTGAATGTAACTTAATATTACATGAAAAACTCTAAAACTAAGAAAAATGTCATTAAAAGCAATTCATCTTGCATCCAACTTATTAATTAAACATCCATCCACCCATTTTCATCCGCTCATCCAGGGCTGGTCGTGGGGACTGAAAAACTAAACTAAGATTATCAATCACCTCCAGGTGAATTCAGAAAATGAAACCTCCTTTTTCTGTACCTGCGGAGGTGCTGGTGTGTCTTTGTAGCTTGGCAGGACCTTGAGTGTAATACTCCCACTGCAGTCCCTCAGCAGCTCCTGGAGCACATGTGGGTCGCTGCCGACCTCTCGACCATTCACCTCTCGGATTATGTCCCCTGTGTGCAGCATGCCTTGCCTGTCAATTGAGCTTCCGTGCAGGATCCGGGCTATCACCATCTCTCCTCGCACCACGCGGAATGTCACCCCCTGAAAGAGAGTAAGAGTCGATAAAGTACTGTACATCTGCACTTCATAAATCATAGAGGAGGCCAGTTTCATGCGTTGGTCAGCCAGGTTCCTCTAAAAGATGATGATTAACTATGTAAGGCTGAGTCACTGCATCCTAACAGATAGTCAGTGAAAGGGCATGTGTAAAACTCTTTGCAGCTTAACAGGAGTGTTTACCCATGCCTTGCTAACTCACCAGTGGTTCCCCAGCTTTCTTCTGGATGCCAATCATCCTGACAGCATCAGCTGGCATCAGTGAACTGGTCATCATGGAATTACTGTTAACTGCAGTCTGCGATGTTTCATAGCACTTTGCAGCCACTTTGTCATGAGCTTCTATCAAACACTAAGACAGAAGAAGAAGAGAAAAATACACACAGAAAGAAATGACTTAACAATATGTTTCTTGGAAAAATGAAAAAACACTCCAACATGCATTACATGAATTACTATGAACAAATGAAGACAAACTGCACTGCCAATAGACTAACTGAAAAATATCCCCAAGCAGTTACAGACAGTGAAGACAAACAACATTAGATTTACTCAAACAGTGCGTAGGAATCCTCTCAATACTCTCCGAAACAAATTAGTTGATAGTAAGAAAGCGAGACCAGTTAGGTGAAGCTTGCAGACAGGTAAATCAGAAGAAATGAGGTAGGGGTTGGAGAAGCAGCTCTGGCTTCCATTTCCACTCCAGTAAAAAGCCCCACCCCGCCACTGAATAAGACTTAAGGTACCTTGAAGTGTGGCTCCTGCAGGATTTTGACAAGCTCAGCAGCAGCAGCATCCTTATCTGTGAGATTGTTAAGGGCATCCAAGATCTCAGTGACAAGCTGAACATTATCATCCCGCACAGCTTGTAACGCAACTTCCTCCAGACGCTCATGTGCCTAAACACAGACATGTCCACCAAAAGAGTGTACACAGCAAGTCAATGTTTGTATCAAGCATGAGGTAAATTTGGTTAGCCTTACAAACTGTGATTTTATAGCATAATAACATTCCCAAAGCTGCAATTACCACTTGATGTTTTTTTCTATATTTCTGCCAAGCAGCCAGATTGCACTTTAGATCCACTCAGTGGACCTGTTTGTTCCACTGAGTGGATTTATAAAGTTTGAAAACTGTGGCGTGAAGGTTGTGATTTTAGGAATTTGGACTATATTTTGCACATGTGGAAGCATGGGGGCTTGCAAGTTGTTAAGAATGGACTATGCCATTATGTTCCTCAGCCAGAGTTCTGAATGACTTCTTAATACCATCTTACTAACAAAAACACTTCCATAATTGTCATAATTCCATAATTTAATCCATAATTGCACTGGCTACAACAGCAGGCATTCATAAAAACCCACTTGCTGATATTTTTATTGAATTTTAATATATCCAAACATTTTAAACAACTCAATAACAAAAAAAAAAAAATACCGGTATCACAGTGAATTAATTTACCACCTACACCAAGAACAAGCGGGCTTTGTTTCTGTTAAACTATCACTGTGATATGCAGAAGAATGAAGGAAAATTAAGAGCAGAATATAAAGTAACAAGGGATTCAAATCCATTTAATATGATTGATGGGCCATCTGTGTAAAATAGTGTATTTTGTTTTTTTAAAGCTACAAACTCTTGTTACAAAATAAGGACAAGAGTTTCTCTTTGTGGACGGTTTTCTATAAAAAGCTGTCTATTTATAGTAATGGTAGTTAAACCTGATGACCTCAATCTGCACTGGAGATATTTTTTTCAGAATGTTATGTAAGCCATTTGTTCTTCATGCTGTAAGCCTCTTTATTTGTGTGTCAAATTGATTGATCTAATTTTAAGAGGTTTTCTGTTTTTACTTAAGCTTCAACATGAACTTAAATTTGTGGTGATTAAATAAAAATAAAAATACAAAAAAGCTGTGCTATACAGCCCTGCAGAGAGTAGACCTTTGTGTTTTACTCTTCCGATGACAGGAAGGGTATTAGATTGCAGTAGATTTCTGGTAACTAACTTAAATGTGGACACAAGAAAAAGACACACAACAAGTAATCAGTTCATGTGATTACAACTCTTGCACATAAAGCATGAATTCCCCATTTCTCCCGTCTCCACACATGAGAAAACATCAGCTACAATTCACTTCCTCTGTCCTACACAGACTTCTAATCTACTTCACTTATAGCTAACAGAAAAATCTACCTGATGAGATTATGGTGAGATGTATCTGTGCATGTGTTTGTAGGAAGTGGAGAACAAGCAAACAGAAGTGGTATCAGTGAGTGCACAACATACCTTAGCAAGGGAACGGACGATGGGGCTCTCCATGATCCCTCTGAGGAAGATGAGGTCAATATCTTTGGCTCCTGTGCCTGATGGCATGTCTCTCAGGTTCTCCAGCACCTGTTGCATGGCTGTAGAAGAACAGATAAACTTAAATGATTTAGCTAACCATTTGCCAACTGCTCTCTTTACTTCTTTTAAGCTCTAAAATGCACTGCTATGTAAAAACAGAGGCAGGAATGCTAGTGAAAAACCAACCTCGTGACCAGCAGTAATGAATATAAATTAAAATTCAGAGACAGTGGAAAACTATTTCAGTATACTACGAATGGACAAGGCAAGAACAACAAGTGGGGAGCGAATCAATGGGCCAATTCAAAGAACATTGCTCATTTCCATTGCAACAGCAACAAGGATGCACGGTCACCAAGGAATTGTTTCACTAATAGCTTTGTCTCGTAGTGACTAGTGACACAGGTCAAATTATTATTATTATTTTACTTCTAGCAACAAAATTAATGCAACATCTTTCTTGTCACCAAGAAAGACGTAGCAATAAAAACACTTCTCATTTTTTTCTCTTTTGTTTATATGAGGACTACAACACTGAATTAAAATGTAATCTGAACAGATGAGCCTGAAACGTTTTTATCAAGAGAACCATGTATTAAACATAGTTTTTTCTACATTTTTGTCCATAAAAAAGAACAAATGGAATTGTTGACAGGCGGCCAAAGGCACCCCCACAACAATCTCTGAGAAGTGGGCACAGTACCATTCAAATGGTAATTAAATGGCAAATATGGTAAACAACACTGCTGCAATTCCTGTGCAAAAGGCTAGTCGGGGACTTTGTCTCTTACAGCTTACCTGAGCCAGACTTTGCGTTGGCCACAGTCATGTTTATTATTCCACAGCTCAGGATGGTGAAACTCCCTAAACACGGTCAAAAGCCACCCAATTGCTGTTTACAGAAACCAGAGCAACTGGAGAGCTGCAGGATGTAGGAAACCCACTCGAGTCAGTACAGTATCACACTAAACAAGCCTTTTTCAATGATTAGAATCAAGCCTGCATTTACTGCTGTATGAGTGATAAACAGATGCAGAACGGAGAGCAATTAGAAAAGAAAGCATTTGTTGGTCTTTGTGTTTTATGCATGTTAGCACAAAGGGCACTCATGAATTAAGCAGATGACAAAGAGGGTGATTGAATGACAAAGGATGAGTCTTCCATCCTTCTGGCTAAAGGTTGTGCCAGCCACACACAGAGAGGGCCCTGGGGATTTTCTGTGCAAACACGGTCTCCAAACAGAGTGAGGAAAAAAAACTCTCGAACTCCCTCAATACACAGTAAGACAGTCGACTCAGGAAGCCTTGTTTGACTACAGATTGTGAACTGTATAAACATAAATGAAACACTGTATTCTAGCTATGCACTATCAAAAAAAGCAGCAAAACAACCATGCTGACCTAAAACAAATACCAAAAAAACATGGCAACAACTCACCTAGTTACTGATTTCAGATCATCAGTGCAGCAGGCCAACACCGAGCCCCACGTTTTCTAAAAAACACTCATCTGGTACCTCTGGACTAATGAGAGAATGGAGGGAGAAAAATCAGAAATTGAGCAAGACCGTTTTAACACCATTATAACTATCAATAAAAGCAAATCATGATAAATACGCAACTCCCTACCCTTAGGGTCCCTTTATTGTCCACACTTCTCCTGCCCATTCAATGTTATTGTAATGCAGTCATTGTGATTGGCCAAGATGATCACATGACCACTGTCTATTTAAAGAGGAATTTTATTTTAAAGCTTAAAGGAGTCAAATTATGGACCTACATTTTATCCGATTTAAAGTAATCAAAAAATAAATCATGTAGTAAAACAGTTATAATTTGTATGGGACGCGTGATTTTGGTATATTATATTTACATTAATTAAATATTCTGTTTTACTTCTCAATTATATTTTTCAGTTGTTTCGTTTGCATTATACACAATATATTCTACGTAGGGCAGACAGCATTTCGTTGGTCCGTATCCTTAGCATTTGAATAAGGTAAATGTTTAAACATTACTTCAAGGAAAATAAAACCTATGCACATCACAGCTGTTCTCATAAGAGTGTTCTCTCGTCTTCTTTCTTTAAACTCCTGCAGCACTTCTTAGAAGAAGCTGAAATTGTCACCAAACCTCAGGCAGGACGAGTGACTTATAAATGTGTTCTCTGCAGCGGTTAAATTAACTGATGTCAAGCTACACACGCACTGGGCACGTGTAACCACTTCAACGTCAGGTAGCTTAGCTGAAATGGTAAGTAGAAGCCGTGAATACTAATTTTGGCGTTAATTACAACGACCAGTTGCTGGTTGAAATAAACTAAACCGTAGGTTTCTACTCTCAGGTCGTCTTGTCATTAACACCAGAGCTCGTGCCGTGTCCGTTTGGATCTCATATGCGGGCGAATTAGCAGCGCTAACTAGCAACTACGAGTGGCGTGCGCTCTAAGTTTTATTTTTGGCCGACAAATAATACTAATAATACATAATAACAGACATGCCAGCAAAATTTAAACAGGCTAGCTTCGGTAGTTAACGCTCAGTTAGTATCGGCCCTTGCAGCAGAGAAGTAAAATCAGCTAAAGTTAGCTTTGTAGTAGCTAATAGTAATATGTGGCTCATAGTAGCTACTTAACATTAGCCAGTGGCACAGTGAAATCCGAGAAACTACTAGGTCCCGTACCGTTACATAGCCTCACATAAACAAATTAATGAATGAAATATACTTTACCCAGTTAAATCAGTTTCCAGTCAAGCTTTCATTCTTTTCTTTATTCCGGAGTTTTATAATTCGCCGATCATTCGCGCACGAATAAGTTGTTACTGCGTTTTCAGAGTGCGTGCCTGCATGCGCCCCTGCTCTCAGTTCCCAGTCCACTCACGCACTGCTAATGTCATCCAGTGCCGTTCAAGTTATATCTAGTGCAGCGAAAACCCGCAGTCTTCTCATATAACTTTCTGTTACACTAAAATAAATAAAGGTAGAAATATTAAGTAGAGTAAATGTTTAAGTATGAAAGTAAGCTGTAGCAAAGTTGTTGCCCTCTTCAGATTTTTATGACCCCGTTAATGTACTTTTTGTTTTGTTTTTGACTAAATGTATTTTAACAACAGTACTTTGTTGAATTAAATATGCGAGTACTGTAAATTAAAATATACAGTTGCCTTTTGACCACCTATTGTGCCTTTTCATGGTTCTTATGAATAGGGATGAATATTGAGTCAATTATCCATTACTGAATTGGTTTATAGGTCTCATCCTTTATCTATTTCGTGTATTGATTCCTGATCTACTGTGAGTAAGCGAGTGTGTGTGTGTGTAGTCTTTAAAAACAAGTCGACTGAATGTCTAACCTTATATACAGATTAGTTTCTCTGCTGACTCCAGAAAAGCATGCACAATGATGACAGCTCATATTGCATAGCAAACAGCACAGCTAAGAACTAAACTGGAAGGATACACTTACCCCAAGAGATACTGTAAGCCTCACTGCCATCTTTGAGTCCTGTAATAATTGTTGCCATGTCTGGCAACAAATAACCTCATCTGCACAACCGACATTCATAAAAAAGTGACATTTTCTCTCAAGGCACATAGAGACTACCATAGCATTGCATGATTTGCTTTTATGTATCCAGGTCACTTGATGAGATTAAAGTGTTAATCTGTTGTGAGTTAGGGTGCAGGCAAATCTCAGTAGGCTTGATAAAAGAGGTAAAAGTAAAGCTGAGAAAATCACTTTGATGTACTCACATTACTAATTTCTATTTCACATTTCCCCTAAATAGGACTCTTGCAGCAGACATGTTTTAAAAGCTATTTGCCCCACTTAAGAAAAACCTGAAAATGCTTAGATGTCAGCTCACCATCAGAGTGCACTGTTACTCCATCAGTGAATGACACAGAAAACACTGTTCACCACGTAAGACACACTTGTACTATCTAGCAACATGTCACAGTGCAGCAGTGGCAATAACACAAACAGTTTAAAGTAGTTTCTTTACACACAGCGTTTATTCCATGCAACACAAGTTCAATTCATGGGAGTAAAAGACGTCATAGTGGCAGCGTTATGGTAAAGTCAACCTGGATGTAACAGCTCTAGCAGCATGGCAGCCCATCATACCTACAGAAACACATTAAAACATAATAATTAGAAATTGAGTCTCTAGAAAACACATTAAAATATCTGCATAATGTATCCCTCTTCCTAATCAGACTCAAGTAATATTCAGTCCAATGAAGAATATATAATATACAAGAATATATATATATATATATATGGTAGTTTAACAGAGAGATAATGGGGTAAATAAATCTACCTGATATAGCTGGATCCTGGAACACTTTCTGTGCTCTCCCTCACTAGCACATCAGAAAATACAGTATCAGGACTGTCTCGTTTCCCATACCTGTGCATAAAGAAGATATCAGCAATTAAACAATATTTTTTTTCCATATAGGGTCAAGATGGACTTAATAATATAGAAGTAGATAACTAACCTCTGTCTTGTTATGAGGTTGATGTAGTGTCTTAGTGCAGAATAATATTTGGCAAGCTCCTCAGGTGGCGCGCCTTGCTGTGGATTGGCAGGTTTGGCTGGGTATGCATTTATGCCAGAGTGAATACAAACCAGCAGACAGAGAGCCAGAATACTCAGCGACATCACAGCGTTGGAACACGTCCTAGATCACAGGGAAAATTAAGTGAAAATACAGAGTAATAAAAAACAAAAACACAAATCCAGCAACTCACGGCAAAATCAGAAAAAGAGCTCTGCAATAGAGTGACCATGTTCATGAAACATAAAGGCAGTCAAATCTGTAAAGACATGCTGACTTTAAATTTAAAAAGCAAGCCTCTCCATCAAATTGTTACAAATAAAGATTTTGCTTACACTTTAGTTCTGCTGTAGTTGCTTTTCCCGCTGTTCAAGGCACGTCTGTCTGATTCCCTACATTGCCCATGTTTTATACAGCTTGTGCCATGTGGGGAGGGGTGTGTGTGTGTGGGGGGGGGTAATTCTGTTCTTTTAGGCTACTCCTGAGAAATATCTATGGTTGCATTATTTAAGCTCAAAGTAGCAAAGCAGTGAAACAAAAAATGGCATTATTTCAGAAAAAGAACTCAGAACCTTTGTTTTTTTATAAATTTAAAATAAGTACATCACTAACATGCTACAGAAATTTGTGTTCTACAATAGGACCAATTCATTTGGAACAACCCAAAAGGTCTGCATCATTTTTGTTTACCCTAATGGCTTTGTTTTCTATGTTTAAAAAAAAAAAAGGAGGTCTAAATAAGCAATAAGAGTACACCTGATTACAGCAAACTTTTCTTTGGTTCACAAAAAGATTTTGAAGTTATCATGGAAAAGTACTGATGAGTGGAGATGAAAGCTAAAAGTTTTATTAATGTAGAAAATCTACTTAAGACCAAAAGCAGCATGGTATGTTTTAATAAAACTGATGATGTGTAACTTAAGATGGCCATGGTTTTCACATTAAGCTGAAAAATGAAAGGATGCCCTAGTGTTTGGAAAAATTATGTTTCACTTCATAGAGAAATGCAAAGGGGGTCTACATCAAAAGCTACTTTTAACTACTACCTTAATCACAAGGGGCTGATACAGCAGGAAGCTTCACATGTTTGATTTGACTTTTTTATTTTATTATTGTTTTTGAAATGCCGGATGCCTTGACTGATGCAGCTCAAAAGAACTTGTGGCTCATCAGGAAACAAAATTAACTCATGAAATTGTGCATTAACCATCTCAAAAATATGAAAAGCTGCTGGAAATAAAAGAACAGGCATTCGTGCTCCTTGCTATCACACAATTGTGTATTGTGTGCAAATTATACAAGAGCAGCCTAGTCAAAGCCTTTAAACGGTTAGCAGTAATGAACCAAAAGTTCAAAACTCATTAGTATATGTTAAATCCTTTGATTTTATGGCCTTTTAAAACTGCTTCATGTATCTCATCTTTAAGTCCAAATTAAACACTACTGAATACAGGCAGTTGTCTTAAGACAATAACTGCAGCAATTTCGGCCAAACGAGCAAGCATAGCTCTAAATTACTCGAAATCATACAAGAAAGGGCAGGAAATCACAAAAAACTCCTTAAACTTTCAATTTCAGTTGATAGAGGGCACAAAAAGCTTTCAGCCCCAAAATGATAAGACAACTTTAATGGCAACTATTTTCTTAGAAGGGCACTCAACAAAAACTTGGCAGTAAATCGTTGCTGTTCTGTGGCAGTCATATGAGCGCTGCACTCCAAAGCAACAGCACAAGTCCTTGCTGGTAACGTCGGCTAAACACAAACAAAAAACTTTTTCTGGCTCATATTACAGGCAAAATATTCAGATGCTGTAAAAGAAAATGACATTGTTATTCATAGAAAGCATTTACATGTTAATACTGCGATTTTCATGGCACTGAGTATCACTGCCAAGTGATCAGGTTCACTGTTAGTATGAATCTGTCAGGAAAAATGCTCCAAAACAACACTATGCTGATCAGATCAGTCAAACTTGGCATGCTTGGAGCAGACACCGACTGACTGCTGTGGCAGGAGCTGCCAACCAGGCATCAATCATGTACTTCATTGTCATCACCGGACACAGGCGTTGGGGTACAAGAAGCTCAAAACTATTTATTTACTTTTTACAAATACTCCCAGAATCTTTGCAAGCACATTTGCACTTGATGCAGAACACCCTTTACGGACTGATTTAAATAGTTTGTGACATCAGGTATTGTGATGACAAATGAGGGCCAGGTGGATAAAGCACAGAGTCCTTCAAGTGCCATTTCTGATAAAATTGATGTGCTCTCTTGTAATGCTCCTCACAAACGTTATCTACAAAGAGAGAGCCCACCTGCAGGACTATCAGAAGGCCTAAATACATACATTTACTCGTACTAAAATATCAAAAGCCTGACACCCAGATGGACATCTAGTTGAGGATTAAAGCTAAAACTTTCAGTAGGAATTCTGGAAGATACATTATTTATTTTAGCCAGTTGCACTGGATAGTAATGACCACCTACTAAATAATATACTCCTTTCTTTATACAGAAACCTAATGCTACACAAAGACCATGATAGAATTTAATTGCATATGCACTTTGGTAATGTATGTGACAGTAAGCCGACTGTGAGCTTTGTATAGCAATGAGTCATGCAAGACATAAACTCTGCTACTATTTACTAATTAACCTCCCTTTCTTCATAATCTCCTCCATCGTAGCACCTGGTCCCTAATGGGGAGAAAACAGTGGGTGAAACAGCTGTATAGATAATGAGAACATTATCCACTCAAAATTTGAGTGGAACAAAAAAAGATTTTTCAAACTGCAATTTTCCCCCAGAGCCTTTTTTTTTTCATTAGAAATAAGCTAGTTTAAAAAAATAAATTACTATATTACAATAAAGACAAATAATATTAAAAATAATTACTTGATAGTCTTATTTTTTAATTTAAACTACTGAATAAGTAAGTGTGATCAACAAAGTCTAACTTTCATCTCAGTGGGTTTATATTGGGAGTGTACTGGAAACCAGAGACTATGTTGCATGAAGATGTCCAAATTCACTGCTTCCCCATCTGTTTTTAAACATTAGTCTGACTCATTCTTCATTTTCCATTCATGTGCAAGCAGCACGACCACAAGTTAAAAGCATTCAAACACCAGGTCCAGTCGGCTCTGTGCAGGCATCTCCTGCCTCATTACATTTTCACATTTAGCTAATGTCCTGACAATAAGTCAATGAAGCGTAATGCTTGCATGCAAGAAAGTTATGGGGATATAGTGTGAGTTGTATCCGTGTTTGTGTATGTTTTGGCTTAGTTTCTACCCTCAGGCTCCGTATTCTTTAAATGTCAAAAAGGTCCAATAATCTATTTATCAGTCTGTTTTTTAATGTGATATTGATGTCAGAAACCATGAAAAAAGACAGAAACTCTTAATCTGTCCATGTCCTAATCAACCTAGGTGTTGGATACACTTACTTTTGAGTCTTTTATTGTCTTATTATCTTGTAAGTGCTGAGTGAATGCGTGTAACGAATAATGGCCTGGGCAACAATTTTTTTCCGAAACAAAGCACTCAGACGGATTTGGCTGAAAACATCATCTTAAATGACTTGTTTTAGTGACTCTATATTCTTCTTTCTCTTATTTATTTATTCTTGCTTGAATTTTGCAGAAAATGTGTTTCTGAGACTTGAATATATTTTAAATACAGACTATTTTTTAAATTATACCTGCAAATGTGAATACTGCTTTGCTGCTGTCAGGTTTAAATATTAAAAGGCTCTTGCTCTTCAGACACAGTTGCAGGTGCTTGTGAATAAGTATATTCACACCTGGGGAGACTGAATCAACACTGAACCTATGCATTTCGTCTGCTCGACAGCAACGTCTGCCTCTTCTTTGTCCTCACCTCGACACCATATTAATCATCAATCAACACGTCTGAAATGTAAGAAAAAATAATTTACTTCAACAATCTAAACAGGATAAAACATACATTTTATCTGCAAACTCATGAGTCATTTTAGCATTTTACAAACACCATATCACCGTACCAGTGATGTCAAACAGTACGAAAAATTAACAGAATCATTAGAGGTTGTCAATTTTAAACACAAAAGATGTTGGGTTTCTGGATTATTTATCTAAAGAAAAATACTGAAGGCTGACCAGTATACAAGTATACATTAGCCTATCACAGATAAATCACTATCATTGTAAATGCTGGGATGACCCCTGCAGAAAAATGATGTGATGGCTCAGTAACATGCTTTCTATATCTGCAAATTTGCAAGAGCCTATGTCCGAGTGGTGTGTATGTCATAACAAAGTGTAAGGCACCGTGCATAAGTCTACACAATTTGTTGTTTCTGCATATTTGATGTTACAGCATCGTACTTTCTATTCTTCACATAGTATTACCAACTACACATGCATTCAAATGCAATAGAAAGAATTAAAAACTACTACTCATCCATTTTCTCTGCAGAATTTTTCAGAATGAAGACCCTTCTTAAGTGAACCACTGCTTGCACAGCTTTGCTGAGAGTGTTGTAAACACTGGAGTCGGTGCATACTTCGTTGGACAAGTTATGTGATGCCACAATTTCTAAATAGCCAAAAGCATGTTGTTTTTTTTCTTTATGTTCCATTAAAGACTTCAGATAGTAGCTCATCTGGCAAAATGCAACCTTGAGAACAATTTGGAGTATATTTTCATTGTGTGCAAGTTTTATTAAAACCTGCCCAGTAGTAGATGGAGTAACAATTCTTGTGAACTGCAGACAGATGGATGTCTTGCCATGGGATATTATGCTCATTAGATGAGATATAATGTAGATAGTACAGTTAATATATCTGAGATCAGTATATACTGGTAAGTTGGGCTTCAGCATTTCTGTCACTTAAAGTACTTTTGGAAATCCAACAGATTTGGTTTTGACTGTAAAGAATGTATCCAAAACTCAAAGTAGTTCAGTCTGGGCACATCTTATTATTTAGCCTTAGATGTTTTCACTTTGTAACTTCAACATCAAATATGAAATCCTCTGGGAGTGTTTCAGTTGGGATACTCTTCAGCTGCTCATCGTAGCTGCGGAGAGTCCAAAGTTTTTCGAGTTCATACACTTCTCTAGTCTCTGGCAGCATGAAATGAACAACCATATTACCTGAGACACAGAAAAACAAATACTTGTAACTTTTATAGATGGTTAATTTAGTGGATAGGAATTGTTAAACAAATAATAAGGATATACATACCAAAGTCAATACACATCCAATCTTCTGCATCTTTCCCTTCAATCTTGACATTTGGATCTTCATCTTTCTTCAGAAACTTGTACTGAAGTAAAAGCATCCTTTGTATGAGTTTAAAGAACAAATATATTTAGCATGTAACAAAGAATAAACAGAGGTAAGTTACCACTTTAATGGCATAAAGTGCCATTGCGCGCAAGTGCCTTGGTGACACACCGCTGACGACAATGAAGTACTCAGCGTATTTGATTTGCTCTGGTACTTTAATCACACAGAGGTCTACTGCATTTTCCTGACGCAGAAGAGACACCAGCACATCAAGACTGAAAGTCTCCAAGGATCCTTGACAAAAAGAAAAGAAAATGGTAAAGCAGTACGAGCATGTAAGCAGCACAGGGGTCCTACTTTCTTTGAGTCACTGCAAGGCAGTTTGGAAAAAGACATTTTACAGAAACATACTGGTACTTTGAACATGAGTCACCCACAATGAAATGACAAAACTGCATTCATCCATGTAACTAAGAAGTATTTTCTAGTAATTTTATACAGAGTTGGTCCTGGTGAGGACGTTTACACAGGTGTTGATTGAAATCATTGAATAAAAAGAAATGAGATATAATCAAAGGTTGTTTATTTGATATACGAATGCAAATACCCTCCAAATTATGATCTAGCATATTTGCATGTCCTTTAATACCAATTTTTTTTAAGTGTTACATGTGTAATTCTATACTTCTGTGACTAATTATTTTTCTTCATTACTTCCTCTTGTCAATATGTGAAGGTGTGGACTTTGCCAGACAAATTCTGCAGTGTCTGTAACATTACACAACCTGAGTAATACATCAGCAAATATAAACATTACATTACTTTTTAATTATTTATAAATTCTGCATATCCTGTGGACATGATCAACAGGCTGCAGTTTTGTGCAGCCTGTTGCATGCTGTAGTGTCCATAACAGTAAATGACACACATCTGATGCTTATTTGGCTTAAATGAAAAACAACAGCATAAATGACAAATAGTTTTATATTTAATGCGCAATCATGTCAGATTTAAAAATATTTAATATTTTTATTAGAGTTTAATTGTTTTTAATGAAACTGCACACACTTGATGTGAACCATCTAAACCGTGTGAATCATCTTTTTAAGTATCCCAACAGTCTATTTTCCTTTGTTTTATCTGTAAGTAGTAGATATTTACATTCTTTCATCCTTCATGAAATCCCAGTGTTTACTATTACCTGCCAATTAATTACTGGCACAAATAATAAGCATATTAAGCAAGAATTTAGGCATCTGCCGTCATATTGGCAGTTTTGTCAGAAATAAGAAGCAGGACTTTGTTTTTGTGCTTCCACCTCACAACCTGAAGATGCACCATAAAAACTTTTCAGGTATCACACTTTCAAGACCAAATGTCGCGTAACCGTGAAACGTCAAGAAATTCAATTATATTACACATGATAAAGCAAGTAAGCGACTGCTCTTGAAACCTCTATCACGCTCTAAGTACTTACTGCGACTTAAGGAGCTGTTTTCGCTGCTATTATCGTCCAGTTCATGTGAATCATCTTCAATCACGCCATTACTCTCTGAATTTCGGCTCTCTTCGCTTTCCGAATAACATCTTTTTATGTCAAAGTGCCCGGTGAAGGACGCTGTGTGATGCGAGTGTTGACATGAGGTCAGATTTGCTGTAAAATGTTGAGGCACAGACAGGCTAATGCACCGAGCTTTGGAGAATGAACAAATGCTTCCAAAAGCCTCTGCTGGCTTTAGTAAAACACTACTTCTCAACACGGAGGACAGCACTTTCCGCGAGTGACACAGTAAATTCATGGTCTTCACCTGCATAACATTACAGCATTACGGAAACAGCTATCCACGAGTTTACAGCGCTAAAAACAGGAAGTGTTTCATGTCCTCGGTTTTGATTGGCTTTTAATGCATTTTTGTTGGCTTTAAGGTCGTGATTGTGGGGGGAAAATATAGAGCTCCCCCTATCGGGGGCTGTGGATTTTCTTTGTACTCTGATTTCCACATGTAAGGTTAGTCCATTGCCCTGTGATTTACTTTGACTTGACTGATGAACCCACTTTAAACATGTGAAACATGTTTGGAAATTACATTTTAATGATGTAATTAATTTGCACATGCACACACAGGTGTTAAGTGAAGGCCTGTGAGAGCACGATTGAGTCTGGGTTTCTTTTTGGTTTTTTTGTTGTTTTTTTTATGTACTTGACCTCAGGTCAGCAGGTAGCTTGTTCCAAAGAATGGGACTACTGTAATTGAAAGCACTTTCAGCACACTTGGATCTAATTCTGGGACTAGTTACAAGATCTACATCTGATGACCCGAGCGCAATATAAACTATAAGAGGGATTTTAAAGGTAATTCTGTATTGAACTGGAGCCAATGGAGTGACTCCAACACTTGGATATGCTCAAGTTTCCAAATGAAACAAACAAGATGTACTTTAACTGCAGGCTGTCAGCTTTTATTTGAGGCTATTTACATCCAAATCAGGTGAACAGTGTAGGAATTACAACAGTTTCCATATGTGCCTCCCACTTGTTAAGGGACCAAAAGTAATGGGATAGAATAAGAACCATAAATCAAACTTTCACTTTTTAATACTTGGTTGCAAATCCTTTGCAGTCAATCACAGCCTGAAGTCTGGAACACAGACATCACTAGACGCTGGGTTTCATCCCTGGTGATGCTCTGCCAGGCCTCTACTGCAACCATCTTCAGTTCCTGCTTGTTCTTGGGGCATTTTCCCTTCAGTTTCATCTTCAGCAAGTGAAAGACATGCTCAATCAGATTCAGGTCAGGTGATTGACTTAGCTATTGCAAAAAAAGTCCACTTCTTTCCCTTCAAAAACTCTTTGGTTGCTTTTGCAGTATGCTTTGGGTCATTGTCCATCTGCACTGTGAAGTGCTGTCCAGTGACTTCAGAATTCATCGTGCAGCTTTTGTCAGCAGTCACATCACCAATAAACACAAAAGAACCAGTTCCACTGGCAGGCATACATGCCTACGCATGACACTTCCACCACCATGCTTCACTGATAAGGTGCTTAGGATCATGAGCAGTTCCTTTCCTTCTCCATACTCTTTTCTTCCCATCACTCTGGTACAAGTTGATCTTGGTCTCATCTGTCCACAGGATGTTGTTCCAGAACTGTAAAGGCTTTTTTTTTTTTGATGTTGTTTGGCAAACTCTCATCTGGCCTTCCTGTTTTTGGGGCTCACATCTTGCGGTGAACCCTCTGTATTCACACTGGTGGAGTCTTCTCTTGATTGTTGACTTTGACACACATACACCTACCTCATGGAGAGTGTTCTTGATCTGGCCAACTGTTGTGAAGGGTGTTTTCTTCACCAGGGGAAGGACTCTTCGGTCATCCACCACAGTTGTTGTCCGTGGTCTTCCTAGTCTTTTGGTGTTGCTGAGCTCACCGGCGTGTTCCTTCTTTTTGAAAATGTTCCAAACAGTTGTTTTGGCCACGCCTAATGTTTTTGCTATCTCTCTGATGGGTTTGTTTTGTTTTTTCAGCCTAATTATCGCTTGCTTCACTGATAGTGACAGCTCTTTGGATATCATCTTGACAGTTGACAACAGGTTCCAAATGCAAATAGCACACTTGAAATGAACTCTGGACCTTTTATCTGCTCATTGTAATTGGGATAACAGGATAATGAGCGAATAACACACCTGGCCATGGAACAGCTGAGAAGCCAATAGTCCCATTACTTTTGGTCCCTTAACAAGTGGGAGGCACATATGCAAGCTGTTGTAATTCCTACACCGTTCACCTGATTTGGATATAAATAGCCTCAAATAAAAGCTGACAGTCTGCAGTTAAAGCACATATTGTTTGTTTCATTTGGAATCCATTGTGGTTGTGTATAGAGCCAAAAATGTTAGAAATGTGTCGATGTCCCAATATTTATGGACCTGACTGTATGCATAAGGACTCTGCCTGTTGCTTTCTGAATAAGCGGAAGTTGTCCCACTGATGCAAATTGAGCATTCAAATAGTCTAACCTGCGTGATATGAATGCATGGACCAATTTCTCACAGTCAGGTTGAGGTAAAACATTCCTCATTTTGAATATGCACTTTAAAGTGATAGAAAGCCCATCTAGTGAACAAACCAGTTATCAAACCAGACTTGCTCATTGCATTTCCGAGAAATGAATGATAAATATGAACAAATGTTCTCCGACCTTTTTGAGCAACAACAAATATTTGCCTCGTCTCTGTTCAGTTCTAAAATAATGTTGAAAATGATGACAGCAGATACTATGATCATTTATTGCTCCATTAATTTGCAAACAAGGGTTAGATCATTGGAGGAAAATGATGACTACAACTGTGTATCATCTGAATAGGATATTTTATGCTGGAACATGTAAAAGCTAAAGAGTAATAGTCCAAGAACAGACAACTGAGGAACCCCTGATTTAATTTGTTACATTTGTCCAGATCTAAAAACCACTAACTGAAGCATATACACTTCCTTCTTTAAGATATGATGAAAACCTGACCCATTAAACCAGCTGACCCATTCGGGGAATGGACATAGGAACTCTCGGGATGTCTTGTGATGTTTGGCTGTTCCTTTATATCCAGTGGACATGCAATTGCATTTAGATCTGCAGACTTTGTAGGTGGGATCAACAGCTTGGTCTATTCTTCTGAGCAAGTCTCAAATGAAGTGTATTGTCCTGCCCCGCCGTCTGGAGGTGCCTTTGAAGTGAATGTGAGCATCACTGTTTTGGTGAGTGGTGTGCGTCACAATCACATCCACATGAATGCCAGGACTCAAGGTTTTCCAGAAGAACATCTAATTGTACATATCAATTCACCTGCCATATTTTATTGTTGCATCTCATCAAATGTTGCAGCTCTTAAATTGGGGTTGAGGTTATATTCATTATTTCCTTAATTTCAATTTCAAGTTCAGTTTCCAGCAACATTTAAATCACTCTGGCTTTTTATTTCGTATTTACTTTCGTCAAAGCCTCTGCTACTTTGATGAACTGTAAGACTGGCATGGTTGTGTATATAAGAAAACAAAACTGCTACTTACTAATGAACTGTTTGTTGAAACTTTTGTTCATTATAATCATAATTGTGTGCTGTCAACATTTTGTCTAGCAGCTGGATGACAGTCACAACAGTACTATTGTCTGCTGTGTCAGAAGGACAAGTAAAAAAATGCACCTCTTAAATGTTGTCAGAAAGAAAGGTATAAAATTCATTATTTGCATTTATTTTGGTAGGAAACTATGACAGGAGAATGCTACTGTTTTATAAAATCAACACCTCTGGCCTGAACAACCCCTGATATATAAAATGCATCGATTATAAAACCTTTATGCTATAAAAATGTATAAAGTTCACCTGAGGTATAATCTCCTTGGTCATTAAAATTACAAATTCAAGTATATAGTCAAAACACTCTTGTACCTGTACAGAGTAAAGCAGTGCACTTTTTTTGTGCATTTTGTACTGTTGTTTGAATGAGTCCTCATTCATCAGCAGAGTCTGAGTCCATAACCACATTCAGTTTCAGTCCCACAGAAATATGGTCCGTAAGTCCAGCCAGCTGAGTTATAAAGGTCACCTCTTCAATTTCCTAAATGGAAAAAAAGATTTTATGCATTTTCTAATGATAAATTATTCTTCTAAATGAGGAGGCTGTCAGTAGTTCTGCAATTTGCAAATATTTTCTGAATGATCTACAGATATAAACATTTCAAACACAAATGAGCAAATGAAAAGACTGGGGACTGAACACAGGGAAATAAGAGAGGCACATACTGTTCGGCACTGCTTCGAAATGGAGCTTTCGCGGTACAGGATATAGTCGATCCGTCGTCCGATCCACGGCTGGTCAGTTTCAGGGTACACCAACGGAAAGTCCGCCTTAGGTACAGGAGGAGCGATAAACCTCTTTCTCAGATCCTCACTCTCCAAAGTCCTACAAGAGCATGAAAAAGACAGAGAAGGTTGCTGTAACCATAAACAGTGTGTAAGGATTTCTTATCAGAAATGTAGTTTTCCTGAAAACAACAAAAGTGGCAAAAGTACCTCTGTAGATTTTCTGGGGTGTTTACATCTTCTTCATACAATGTGGGCTGTTCCAGCAGAGTACCTTCAAAAACAAACCATAAAAATTCTCTAATCTTTGTTGAAATTTGTCATATAGTCAAACTATGAAGTGCTACAGGGAATAAATAGTACAAACCGGTGACCCAGGGCTTCTCCTTTCCAGGTCCGGCCCTGCAAGGGTCTTTGTATTCCTCAAAAACAGAGTGACTCTGTTCCTGACGATCATCTAGATGAATACATTTTTAAAACTGGTTAAAAACAAAATATTAACAAAAAGGAAAAATATTAACAGAATAAAGTCTTGCATGAGACAGCAACACACCAGGTGAGCAGTTGTCAAAGTTGAAATCTCCACAGAGCACATCAAAAACAACATCCTCATCAGGTTGTTTGTTGGCAGCTTGAAATTCCGCGATCCACTTAGTTACCATTTCTAACTGGATACAACGAATTTCCCCTTCACCTGAAATAGGATTACACAGAGGGTCTCCTAAACACAACTTAAAATTAAAAAATAAAAAAATTTAAATATGAAAAGATTTTATAATTTGTTTAATTAAGCCAAATCAGAAATTGGGACCTACCCTCTGGTGCATGAAGGTGTGTGCAGTTAAAATAGCCAACCACTCTCTTCTGTTTCTGGTTCTTCCCGATAAGCACCTGGAAATTAAAACAAAAACAAAAAAAACAATCATGGCATCATATTTTCTGTTTATTCAAACTGATA